GTAATGGATTACTTGCAGCCGATAAATTTTTACTGTAATTTTGTGATGCATAAATTACTTCCTTCAAGGAGTAACAATCTTTGTAATTAAATTGCTTTTTTGCTGTAATCGATTACAAAATTACCTATTACAACCTCATTTCTTTTCTCTTTTTTTTTTTTGGGGGGGGGGGGGGGGGGGGGGAGGGGGGGGAGGGTGCTGGAGTTATTCAGCTCCAGGCAACGGTCTTTTTTTCGAAATTATTAAGCACGGGGCCTTGAGGATTAGTAGGCCACCTCACTATGCTTCTTTTTCCTGGGTACTTTTTTTTTTTTTTTTTTTGGTACAACGGAGATTACGTTTGGGGTATGAAAAATTACCTTGTCCAGCATCTTGTGAGGGATTAGGTGTGCGCCATCACTCACTATTTAAGCAAAGACGGTCAAGGCTTTCTTCTTTTTTTTTACAACTGAGCGCGAGATTCCACGGATTATGCTAGCATAATAAAAAATTTGAGTGAAAAGTAACGCGGGAAGTAATCGATTACTTTAGAGTAATTTTTCTATTACTTTTTTGAGGCTGTAATAGTAATTGTAATCGGGTACTTTTTACAGCGAAGTAATTGTAACTGCAATTGGTTACTTTTTTTTAGTAACGGGTACAAGTCTGATTATTTTCTGAGTGGCTTTCGACTGCTCAAAATGCAAACCAGCTCTGCTTATCACACAACCCACACATGCTCGACATAGTAATTGTGTGTGCGAACCACGTGACATGCGTAAGCAACGAACGTGCAGTTGCGCGGAGGAACAGGGCACCAAATTTCGAGTTTACCCTATTGTGCAACTCAATATCGAAGCAGCAGACTATGATTAACGAAGTTATTGTATTTGAAGCGATAAGCAGGAGCAAGATTAAAGTATGTCGAACAGATCTACCGATCGCGTGAAAGCTGCTGGCCGGCAAGGTTTCCAAACGGACCACGTTTCACTTCTATCAAATCACGATTTATCTTGCGGGAATGCGGTTCCAACTTCTAATGATGGAGTACTAAAAGGAATCTTTTGCTTATTTGTTTTCAACTGGCTGACGTCCGGATCCCGGGCCGCAGAGCTTCAGGCAATGCGACTCTTAACGACTCGACCTCACCTCGGCCGACTTGCTTAACCGCTTATGGTTGAAGAATAACAATCCAGTCGCAGGTGGTGTAGCGCTTGGAATCCGACCCCCGAGTTTTTTTGCGGGCTTCTGACTCGGGATACACAGGGAGAATAAGAAGAACAAAAGATTGCAGGGCCGACCAAGCTAAGCGCGCACATTGTTGTCAATCGAGTCGATAAAAACCAAAACCAAGACAAAATTAAAAAAAATTGGCGCACGTTTTGCGATTTGGTGCATAATGGCGCAAGGTATTTATTGGCTGTGGCGCAGTTTCCGCAACATGGTGCAGGATGGCGCAGACAAATGCGTCTGGCGCAAAATGGCGCAAATTGCGCAGCCGTTCCACCCCTGTATTTGCAAAATATATTTATGCCGCGAAACCGAAACCAATATGGAACCTGACAGGTCGCGGCCACATTCACACGTGGACAGCTCTATTCTATTTCACACGGCGACAGGACATCATTTGTCTGCAGTTCGAGGGTTGTTTCAACCAACTGCACAACAAAAGTCCCTTAAGGGAAGGCACGGCCTAGGAATCGCGATTTTTTCAAAAAAGTCACATTTTTGGAAAATAGGCTGACCAGCTTTTACAACTCATAAAGAATGCTGTCCAAAAATTTTATTCCTGTAAGTAAAGTATTTACTCCGAAATAAATTATTTTCGAAGTGCTGGCGGCCGCACGTGCGCGCCACCGACGCGGCCGATTACGAAAATGTGCCATTTTCAAAGAGCGCTCCCTTTGCGTTTCTTAGGACTAGCATGGACAGGCCCCCCTCGTTGGAATGAGCGTCTCGCCCTCTTTCGTTCTGTTCGCAGCACTGTTCGCGATATCGTGCTCGCAGACCGCAAAACCCCGTAGAAAACATAGCTGTGCATGCTCTTATTGGTCAAGGTGGCGAAACAAGAGCTCTGATTCGCTAGGACGAGCCACGTGACGTGGCTCGTCCTAGCGAATCAGGAAGCTCTGTTGGAAATGGGCATACAGCCAGGGAGCTACCAAGCGTCATACGGGGAGAGGGCCACCAAGATGAAGGTTGCGAAGGCCCAAGTGAAAGCGCTTGAGTCCTCCAAGATGTCCCACAAAAAAAGGAAGATGGAAGCTGTGGCCAAGGCACAGAGGGACCGTGCAGAGGAAGGAGTGACATGTGCCCCTGGAGCATTTTAGATGAAATGGCAAGCCCCACCTAAACTAAAACACTGTTCGAACTTTCAAACCCGTTTTTCTCAGCTTCATGTTTTCACCATTTTTTCACAGCTCTAAAACTATTGTTCGATGAGTTAAGCGCCCCCAAGTCTAATGTATGGCTTTTTTGGCATGAAATTTACTGGAGAACTCGGCTATGTGCTTACTTTTTGCAAATTGTTATTTCTTCACACAAAAATGTTGACGTTTGTGAAACAAGATAAAATTAAAAATTCATACCTTTATTGAAAGTTAATTTTTACGTGAAATATGGCCTTAAAAATTATTTCAAGCCTACTACCGATTAGTTTAGTCATTCAGCGTTATATCCCAACAAAGAAATTGTGCCTTTTTATTCATATTTTGAAATTTTTTTCCTTTGGCACTGCTACATGTACATTTTTTTCAACGAATAAGGCTGTCACTTGTCAAAAAAATAAACCTTTTGGGTTGAAAGTTGGTGTAGCCTCCTAAGTTTTGACGTTTAACATACCCTAAAAATTTCATTGACCTGGCACAAATACTTAAAAAGTAGACCCTCCAAGGGAGTGCCTCCCCTTAAAGGGGCCCTGCAAGGACTTTTTACTGGTTTTTAATTTGCATCGAACCTGAGTGCACTGAACGTAGTAACTTAATGAAACTTTTTCTTTTCTCGAATTTTTATTTATTTTAAAAGTTATAGGCAAATTAAAATGACAAAAACAAGCAAAAAATAACCGCCTTCATGACGTCCTTGGTTGCTTGAGTGGCCGTGAACTAGAGGAGGAGTAGTGAGCTCAGCGAACAATCACGGCTGCCGCACTTTGTGTCGACGACTCGAGAGGGCGCCACTAAAGAATGCTCTGGATAGGCTGTATGAAGTGGGCAGCCAGGGCGGCTCGCATTGCATTTGCTGCGCGATTAAACACTAATTCGGCATGACACATCATTGGCCACAAAAGACAGCAAACACGAGGTAAAGATAAGTTCAGAACGGGAGCCACTTTGCACTGCCATACCGCCAAAGGGCCAAACTGCAAGACAGAGCTGCTCGCCGAAAGCCTTTGGAACGCTTGGAACCGGTCGGATCCTCGACTGCAGCGCCGCCGCGTACATCCGAGACCTTTCTATGCCCGCCGCTCGTTGGCGCATGATCCAACTACCCCTTTCTAGTATGCACCGCCTTTTCCACCGCTTGGTGGCGGGTATGTCGAAGGGTTATTTCTTGTTTCCATACTTTATAAACTGCATTTGTTTCTTTTCTGATTTAAAATAGTGAACAAAAACTACTTTTATAAATAATTGAAACGGTTCGCGCCACTTATGTTTTGTATTTCGACAAAAGAGAAGCTTTTAGCGGCTCTGACCAGTAGTAAGCCCAGGACCAAAGACATCAAATTTCGAGCGCTTTCGGCCTTGCGGGTCGCCCCCGTAGGTGAAGGAGGTTTTCGCGTCGTCCGGTTAAAATATGACGCACTGATGTTTAGTTACTCTCTCCATGCCCGCTGGCCTGCCCGAACCCCAAGAGACGTGGAAACCGCAAAAAAGATAGACGCTTAAATTTGATTGCAGGGCCCCTTTAAATCCATGAAGATCTAGTCTGACAAAGCAACAAGATTGAACGAATAAAAAAACAAAACATTACAGTACAGCAGTTGGGAGGCACCCTAACACGGCTCTTTACATGATGTTCCGTCAGAGCTTCCGCGGTAGCCGATGTTGTTAACAAAAATGCAGTTTTTTTTGAGGACGCATTTCGGGAAGAGTTTAAAATTCAATATCTCGCATGGAGGAGGATAAAAAATTCGGATATTGCACGGAGGGTGTTCCTAAACACAGTTAAAACAAGATTTAATTGTTTTCTCGAAGACAAAAATTGACCGAACAATCCCTTTAAGTTCACCTCCAACTCAGACAGTCGATCAGGTAAACAGTGGATGGCTCAGAATGTGGGGAAGGGCTTACTTTTGGGTTTTGGGCACTCATGTGCAAAGGCAAAAGTCTAGAAGTCCAACAAAATCATACTTTTAAAGACAGTTTAATTGAGCTCTACTTCTGTGCCCGAGACCCTGGGCGTGAGCTGTTTATCGGCACCTTGTTGTCTTCCGTTTAAACTTCAACAGCACCCATCGGAGGAAACATCAGTTTCCCCGCAATTGATAGACCTTCACCCCTCCTCCCTCTTTCTCCCGCTGGGAAAGAATTTTTGTGCAGCAGTTTAGGAATGGGGTTTATTATGGGACCCCGCAACAAAGGTGAATATTGAAAAACTTGAGGGAATGCAAAAGAAGGATTTGCGCTTTGTGAATAACGAGTATAGAAGGATGAGTTTTATCACCAAATTGTATCAACAATGAAAAAATGAGCTTCTATTGAGTCGTTCCAGGACTAAACCACTAAAGCTTTTATATACCATTGTTCATTACTCTCGTCTAACAGATCTTTGCAAGTTAATTCCTCACATCTTTTTTTTCTTCATTGACTTGTGTGTTTCATTGTCAACTCTCATTTATACTTTAGAACCTAACAGTGCAAATTCAGATTCTATTTCTTTTTTTTTAATAATACACCTCTTCGGATTTTTGAAAAGTTTATCCATGGACTTTAACTGCTATAACTCCCAAGCAAGGAAGTGATGCACTCTGTGTCACATTTCTTCAAATACTTTTCCCATTGTAAAACATGTTCACTTACTCTGAACTGTTCCACTGCTCCTGGCCTTCAGTGATACTCAATGTGTAGTCCCAGAACTCGTACCAGGCGTTGTTCTGCTGAGCGATCACCGGCACGGCCACACACTGGGTCCAAGCAGGAAGCTTCCCCACCTTCAGACCGCTCTTGTCGAACTCATAGACCTGACCTGGGCAAACAGAAGGGGGAACATTCCACAATGAGCTCTCCTAGCCATTTACAAGTTGAGTTGCTTCAATGCCTCCATCTATCAAGGAAACATGCTGGTGTAGAGACGCAATAAGATTATAGAACAAGCCAAGCACCACAATTTCAGGAAGGCACCCCACAATTTTTGTAGGGGACTACGCTACTGCTCGTAGTTACATTATGTAACTACTACATTTTACACTTCTGTAGACACTATGCACTACATTCATCATCATTAACCACAGAATGGTTCAACGACTTGATCCTTCTAGAAGATATACTCTAAAGCTTTACATTTCTTACAATTAACCAAGGCAATAAGCTTAAACTATAACAAGGCAGCTCACCGGCGATCCACACTGATTACATGGGCCATCTGGCTCTTTAAATGTGAGCTTGCACATTACTGCCGAAATAGCATACCGCATTGGTATGACCCTCTGGCAACCTATGATGCACCACAACCAAACATTTTTCATTTGTCAGACATTGGAGGCTTAAAGTTTTGTTTTGTTTTGCCCAGCTTGTTTCCCTTTTACTTCAAAACTGCATAATATAATCATGGCTCGCTAATATGAACACCTCCGTTCCCCTCAAAAGTCGTCAACAGTAATGAATTGAGGTCAAGATCACAAATATTAAACAAGTGTGGCCTGGCATAGCCTTACCTCCTCCTAAGTGGTGAAGGAAGTGTCCCGTTTGCACTTATATGCATTAGGGATACACATGACCTATGAATGTTCTTCAGGTTTGTCGTCCGTGGCTGCGACATACGTGCGAGAGAAGGGCAAGTGACACAATCTTCCGGAAAGTCCCAAAACATTTAACCATTGCTCGATGCCCAGGTCATATCTCTTTCTCGGGAAGGGCGGCTAACAAGAGAAAACAAGGAAGTGCTGGGTGTATCCTCTGACTCAACGGCTTCACTGATCTCTTTTTTTTTTTTCTTTTCATTCGTGGATTGTTTTTAGGAATATTGTGTACGTAATAAGGAGACCAAAATGCATGTATTTACCCAGTTCCTTCCCAAACTGTTCAGTTTGGACTGCAGGTTTCTGCATTAACAAAGCAGAATTGTATGGCAACAGATAAGACCTAGAAAATTTTGTCCATGGTCTTCCAATCTCCCGACTGTTGTCCATATCAATAGAGTTCATGCTAACTATAGACCAGGGGTGGCCAGGCTGACCCAGCCTAAGAGCCGCAAACAAAATCGCGAAACTTCTAAGAGCCGCAGGGGGGGAGCAATAAACGAAACTTGAACTACTGTTAATCTATCCTAGTCAAAAGCAGTCCAACTATATGTAAGGTAGCAGTAGCACAAAACTACCAAACCGCAATTCCTGTCTTTCGATTTAAAACGCGTTCCATTTCTCTTTTTGGGGAAGTGCTCGTGTGACCAGGAGGGAGGCGGGAAAGTGGGAGGGGGGGGGGGATAGGGGAAAGAGCTGCGAGCCGCACTTTAACACGCAAAGAGCCGCAGCTTGGCCACCCCTGCTATAGACTATAGAAGGAAAGATGCATGCTTCATCTCAAGCAGCAGCTTCTGCAACTTAGCTAGCATGTTTCTAGAGACCCCCTTAAATATTTGACAGTAGAACAAACGTTTCAAGTGGTACGAAGGAATTGACCTGTTGAAGCATTGCCATGTGTCACTGACATTGACTTAAAGGGGCACTGACACATCAAAATCATATTTTTTTTTTATTATCCGAAACAATTGAAAACAATGCTGGGACATTACCCTCAAAATTCAAAATTTGGGAATTCAGTACTTGTGAAGTAAAAAAAACAATTTCTAAATGCCAAATTCGAAGTTCCCGCGCTATCCGCACCGGTGCGTTGACGTCAAATATTGCGGAGTCCTGAAAGTCCACTTTCTTTCACGACTCCATGCTGTTGCCATGGCGACCCAAAGCGAGGAGGAAAGGAACGAGTGTTGGCTACGCCGGCGGGCCGGTTTTGAGCGGCGTCGCCTGTTTTCCGTGGGAGGATACAAATCCAGGAGGCGGCACCACAACGAACTTCAGATTTTTGGTATTTCAAAAAGAAGGGCCGTAGTGCGTTCACTATTGCGTTAAAAAACAAGTTTTAGGATTGCCGTTATTAAATGTTATAGAGATGTCACAAAGCTTCTAAATTTCATGATTCTTGACGTCACAAATCAAAAGAAGCGAGGAGGCGAGAGGCGGGAGAATAAAACGCCAAAAATAAAAAGGCGCGCGCAAAAAATTTTTTTTTCGCGATGCGATTTTTTTTGCGGGTCTATGACTGCAATTTGCATTGTTTTGGACAATAAAAAAAATACAAACTTTGGGGTGTCAGTGTCCCTTTAAGTAAAAATGACTATTGTCGTCGTCACCGTCAGTGCACACAGGAACAAGCTTGGTGGTTGCTTTAGAGCAGTGGTCTCAAACTCATTTCAGTGTGGGGGCCAGATATCCAACATTCGAAAGGTTGAGGGCCAACGTAAAAAAGGGCGGGGGGGCTGAAGGGGAGAGGAAGAGACTTCGTGGTCTATACTTTTTGTAAACTCAGAGTCTTACAAGTGACATCTTTAGCTTTGATTTGTTTATAAGACTATTTTGGGCCATGACCTGATGTGATAAGAATTAAAATGACATCGCCACGCCAACGTGCTGGCATTTTTAATAGAAGTACAACGTTTTAATAGAACAAGTATAGCACTTTAATAGAACAAGAACACCGACGTTCCCACTGCTCAATTCACCCAGGAATTAACCAAGCTCAACATGTTGCTAAAAAAACAATAAGTCAATATGAAAGTTGTTGCTATCCTGAGGAGTCTTAGTACATCACTCAAACAAATACTTGCCTTTTAATAGTGACATATTTTTGAAGACGAGAATCCCGAGCTCGTAGCTTTATCTCTGGCAGTGGCTCCTGCTGATTGAGAGTTCGCGTAGCCGACATGCATCATTCAACGAATAGCTTGCGCTGTCAGCCTAGTAGCGGAATCGCTGTACATTACAAAAAGCTGAGAAGGAAAAAATAAAGCGAAACAAAGTGTAAATGAATACAAATAAGAATAAACTATGGGAATACCTTCAAAGAGAAGAGCTACTTTTCGAGCGAAAAGTAAGCGACGAAATGAGATCACTATGGCGCAGGCCATTTCTAGCGCTCGAGACACGGGAACCGGTACTCGTAGCTACTTGCCTGCGGGCCGCTTTCCAGCGAGTTGCGGGCTGCGTGTTTGAGACCCCTGCCCTAGAGAGACAGTCGGCGTCAGTGCTCATGCAGCCGAACTTGTAGATCGCTGTCACTTCAAATTTCTGCAGTCTTAGGCTCTACTGAGAGAGCCACCCTGATGAGCTATTGAAGACTACGAGTTAACAGAATGAGTGACAATTCATGACTGAACGAAACAAGCTCCCGTACAAGTGCAGACAGAACTCGATTATTGCCCAGATGATGGCAAGACATTCTGCCTCTGTCAGTGAGGAATTGTTTACTGCCTTGAAAGGGTCCGACTTGTCTAGGCAAGTACTTTCTTTCTGCCCTCCTGCCGCTGGACCACTACTGCACCAAGTTCCATATTGCTTGCGTCCATGAGGATTTGTCTCTTTGCAAACAGGAGGCTAAAAGGGAAGATAGCAGGTGTCTGCAATGTTTGCTTCAGCTCGCTGAATGCCTGGTGTTGTTCTTCTGCCCATTCAAACCTCGCAGCATCCTTTGTGAGGAGTGTGAGGGGTGCAGAAAGTAGTGAAAAATCCCGAACGAAATGCATACTGTAGGCACACACAGTCCAAGAAGTCTTCGGACAAACTTCTTGTCCAATGGTTGAGGAAATTTGGATACAACGGAAATCTTTGCCAGGTCAGGGTGTACACCTTTATTACTCACAACATGGCCTAGGAACTCTAGTATGCCAAGAGTGAACTGAAATTTCGTAAGTTTGAGGGCAAGCTCGGTGGCCTTAATGGCCTGGGGCCAGCCCAAAGTGCTCGTCGAAGTCGCCCGAGAATACAACGATAAAGTCAATATTGCCAAGACAGCTCTGCCACTTCGAGCCTGCTAGCATGGCCTCGATGACAAGCTGAAAGCTCGCTGGCACTGCAGAAAGTCAAACTACATCGGGTGTAATGAAATCAGTCTTCTTGAGGTCCTGTTTGTTGAATTTGATTAGCTGTTGGCCATTCTTCATGTCTATAAACGAAAAATACTATGTGTGGTGCAGCCGGTCCAGTGTGTCGTTGCATTGACGCAAAGAAAGCAGACGGCCGTCCTTCTTAGTTACAGCATTTGGCCGTCATAATTTACACAGAACCTCAAAGAGTTCCGTCATTTGCTATTCCTAGCATGACTGTGAAGCCCACAGAGTGCTTGAAGGTTGAATAATGTCAGTGTTCAGCATTCCCATGACTTGCCCCTGAATGATCACCCCTCCTTTATAGATGGCGACTAGTTGACAGGGAGCATGCCGTCGTTAGCAAAAATGTGGTGCTTCACTATCGTCCATAGGTGCACCCTTAACAACTTGGTGAAACAGTCATCAAATTTGGCAAGGTACATCAGCTATCACTCTTGAGTGCACAGAGCTTGCGGTCGATGATGAAGTGCAAAGTTGCCATACTCCTGTGATGCAATGATGAGGTGTCTTCTGAAATTGCAGTGATTGCAGCCGAGTCCAGAAGTCCCTAAACGTAACCCCCTCATTAAGCACTGTGGCTCCTATAAGAAGTTCATTCTTACGGACCGTGGTACAACATTCTTGGAGCTGTGGTATGCCTTTTGCAATGTCAATTCCCCTGCTAGGAGTAGTTGAATGCTGCCTTCTAGTAGAGCTTCACTGCAGGTAGCTGTGTCAATCCAGATGGGCACAAAAACGCTCGACCATGGCAATAGGTTCCCACAATCAACAAAGCCACGGACTAGAGCCAATGTTGCTTTATGGTACTTTACTGATAGGAGATGTTTTCGAGGCACCAACCTCTTCCCTCCCAGGTCGACGACAGC